CAACAACAGGGGTCACTGTGTACTTGCTTCTCATGTGGGATCTGTCCTTAATGTGGTGTCCAATGTGAAATAATGCTATAACTAGTACTGAAACAGTATTTTACACTTTGTGTTTCTGTGTTGGTGCAAACTGATGAAATCTTAATATATAGTGAATCGATCTTCTGTATATAAAGATAATTGAAAATGAATCTTGATGTGAATGGAATGGGAGAGGGAGTGGGAGATGGGAGGGTGCGAGTTGGGGGGAAATTATGGGCGAGGGAGCCATTGTAATCCCTACACTGTACTTTGGAAATTTATATTTATTAAATAAAAATTTAATAAAAAATGTGTATAGTATTACTTAATTTGTATGGCGTTCAAAATATGCAAAACTATCGTTACATTGTTTTCTAAGGAATTAAATAGTTTTAGTAAAGCCCTTTAAATAGTTGAATATTAAGCATCATTTAGGAATTTGTGGGCAAATATGAAAATGGGACCAGGGAAAGACACCTGGAGGATCAAAAGTACTAATTTTGTTTTTCTTTATGTTGTGGCTGCACATACATTCTATCTCTTTCTTCTGTAGAGAGAAGAGATGGAGAGAGGGAGAAAGGTAGAGATCAATATATATAACTCAATATATAAGGTCCCGGCAGTGGGAAGAGAAGTGTATTTGAAGACAGGAAGTAGAAATAGCTGGTGATGGCAATTGTTGCTAGGCAGTATGGGATCCACAATGAAATGAATTTAAGGGTATTGTGCTATAAGAGGCCATTGGTGTCCTTGGTGAGTGCTGTTGCAGTAATAGAGTTGAGGTAGATGCCAGAAAACCATGACTTGAGTAGTATAAAACAATGACTATAGGCAGATCTTTAAATAATTTCGGCAGTAAAAGCAAGAAAGGGTATAAGTTATCAATTGATGAAAAAACAAAAGTGATGCCTATTTTATAACAGAACATAGTCTGTATTGAACTACAGATAAAGGCATTAAAGTGTTTAAGTACAAATTAACTTATGGGAAAAAAATTCAGTGTTCTATGAAAATCCCCCCAGGAAGTTACTAAATTAAGAATTAATATTTCAAGTAGTCATTTTATCTATTATCTTAAATTCCCCTAAATGATATTTTCTCAATTTTTAATGCTTCATGTGGCCTTTCTGATTTTGTCTACTCATCCTTTCAATGTTCTTTCTCATTTTTAGTAAACAATAATTAGACCAGTTTAAATTATCCTGTATATGCATGTTGAGACTGCATGACAGAAATTATCAGTTCAGGGGAGAGGGTACTCCCTTCCCCTTTCATATCAGGTAGCTTTAGTCAAGCACTGTAACAATTTATATACAAACTTAAGTGATTGAGTGAAACAGTTCAATATGTAGATATTCTTACTTGACAATATATGTGAATACTAAATCCAGAAAGAAACATTAATTTTTAAATTACAAATCATGTTATACTCTTTGAGAGTTCCATAGAAAATATCTTGACTGGCATGCAAAAGCTTAGACCAGCAATAAGAGATGCTGTTATGACTTCAGCGGTGACATAAATCTCAGTTTAGGAGAGCAGTGTGGAGGTGGGTGAATGCCATTTATTTTAATAACAGGCAAAATTTTCAGGCTGTAACAACATGCTCAATAAATTCTTCCATTACTGTGATACCAAAGGAGAGTTGAAAAATGTATTACTCTTCTATTTTTTCTCCTTAGAGATATATTTTTGTTCTGTTTCTATAGCAACATTGATGCAATGACTAAAACTTTAACTCCTTTTTAGACTCCCCGATGGCTTCACACAGCTTCTAAATCTGACCCAACTTTACCTGAATGACGCCTTCCTTGAATTTCTTCCTGCCAATTTTGGAAGGTAAGAATAAGAAATTAAAATTATACAATTTTATTTCAACTTTGAAAGTGCTCTACCAGCATCAGCAGATGAGTTTTCCAGTTGTGATTTAGCTAGGCCACATTATTATTTAGTAAAGGAGACTATTAATGAATAAAGCTTTCTGCAAAAAATAAAGGAAAATTAGATCTTTATGTGACTTTAGTAATCAAATAAATGATAGTAATATTATGATTAATTTAAAAAATCCTCTGGAAATTATCTGGAAGAAAAGATAAATGAACTTTGGTCTTAGATTCGGAAATATCTTTATAGTCTTAAAAACAAAAGAAAATACCATAATTGGATAGATGGATATGATGACCTAAAATACTTCTAAGATAAATTAATATCAGAACAAATTAAGGTGAAGAAATTATCTGAGAAAAGTTTTCACTTTATGGAAAATAGAGTATATATTTGAAATACAAAGAATTCTTAGAAATGAACATAAAGACAGATTTAAGGAGAAATGGGTGAATGATATGCGCAGGCAATTCATAATAAAGACTACCAATGGCCAGTGAACACAGGAGAGCTGGCATTCTTCACAAATAAAGAATATAATGCAAATTCAACAATGACAATGACAATGAAGGGTGCAGTGTTCTAAGATTGTATAAATTGTTGCTGGAATATGAGGATGAGGTAACTTCACAGTACTAGTGGGGATACAGAATATTATGAATTTTGTGCATGGCTGTATGCTTTAAAAGCTTTGAAAATATTTACAACAGTGGCCTTTGCAGTTTATTTCTAGAAATGCCTCATATTCTCATAGGGTCACACTAGGATTTATGGACAAGTATATTTATAATTTACAATGTGGAAAAAATGAAATCACACATCCATATAGAAAACTGTTAAAAATATTATAGTCTGCCAGCGAAGAGTACCTCCCCATGTCAGCAGAAAGTAGCTCTAAAGACAAATCATCGTCCCTCTACCCCTCCTGGATTTTTGGGACTAATGTAATCACATATAGCTCCTGCTTTATAAAAAACAAAAGGGGGGAGTGTTAGTAAAATGGCACAGTTTTATCTATGGCTCAATCTACACCCTAACACCATCCTAGGCTCTAGCCCCAGCCACCATTGCTGGAAGCCAGGTGGCTACATGGCCCAACCACCGGTGTCAGCCCTAACCCCATCCTAATGGGATTCGCTGTTCCTACTTCCCTGCCCGCCCCCTGGCAAAGTTTTAAAATTACCTGTTCTTGAGCACGTGGCTCACTCTCTCTTTTTCTGTCTCCTGACCGCTGTCTCTGTCTCTCTCTCTCTCTCTCTCTCTCTTACGCTCTTCTCCCTCTTTTCCGTCTTTGCCTCTTCCTTCCAGTATGTCAGATTTCCCCCAATAAACTCTTTCCCTTACTCTGGTGTTTGATGTGTTTTGTGGCGGCCTTACATTGGCTACCTGGCCATTGCTGTGGTGCAACAGGTAAAACCACCGCATGTGGTGCTGGCATCTCATGTGGGCGCTGGTTCAAGTGCCCACTGCTCTACTTCTGATCTTGCTCCCTGCTAACATGCCTGGGAAAGCAGAGGAAGATGGTTCAAGTGCTTGGGCCCCTGCACCCACCGGGGAGACCCAGAAGAAGCTCCTGGCTCTTGGCTTCAGCCTGGCCCAGCTCTGGCCATTCAGGCCATTTGGGGAGTGAACCAGCAGATGGAGGACCTCTCTCTTTCTCTCCTCCCTGCCCCCGTGTAACTCTGCTTTCAAATAAATAAATAAATCTTTTTAAAAAGAAGGAAAATATTATGGTCTATCCATAAGACCATTTTATGTAGGCATCAATAGTTGTTTTTAGAGAATTTTTTCCTTTTCTTTAATTTTTTTTTTCCTGAGAAAGAGAGAGAGAGAAAATATCTCCTCATCTGCTGATTCACTTTCCAAATGCTTGCTCCTGGAACTAAAATCAAAGCCAACAACTCAATTCAGGTCTCTCACATGAGTGCATTGAACCCAACATTTACTCCTCATTACCGTGTATCATGGTCTGCATTAGCAGGAAACTAGAGTCAAAAGCAGCAGGCAGGTATCAAACCCAGACACTCCAGCATCAGATAGAGGTGTCCTAACTGCTAGCTCCAATGCCTGCCCCAGAAAATTTTTAAAAGTCTGTGCTTAGGCCGGCGCCACAGCTCAATAGGCTAATCCTCTGCCTGCAGCACCGGCACCCCAGGTTCTAGTCCCGGTCGGGGCACCGGGTACTGTCCTGGTTGCCCCTCTTCCAGGCCACCTCTCTGCTGTGGCCCGGGAGTGCAGTGGAGGATGGTCCAAGTTCTTGGGCCCTGCACATGCATGGGAGACTAGGAGAAGCACCTGGCTCCTGGCTTCGGATCATCGTGGTGTGCCAGCCGCAGCGGCCATTGGAGAGTGAACCAACGACAAAGGAAGACCTTTCTGTCTCTCTCTCTCTCTCACTGTCCACTCTGCCTGTCAAAATAAATAAATAAAAAATAAAATTCTGTGCTTAGTTAAATATAACAGATCATTATAGGAAAATATATAAACTGTTTTCAATATGAATATGCATGAGAATAAAGGCTGGTTATCTAGAAGTAAACTTATGAGAAACTAATTTCAACATTGTTTTTTAAAAATTTTTTCAGTATGCTCTGCAAGAAGAGTTTTTTTTTTTAAGATTTATTTATTTATTTTAAATGCAGAGTTACAGAGACGCAAAGGCAGAGAGAAAGAGAAAGAGGTCCTCCATCTGCTGGTTCACTCCCCAAATGGCCACAATGGCCAAAATCATACCAATCCAAAGCCAGAAGCCAGGAGCTTCTTCCAGGTCTTCCATGCAGGTGGCAGGGGCCCAAAACCTTGGGCCACCTCCCACTGCTTTCCCAGGCCAAAGCAGAGAGCTAGATCAGAAGTGGAGCAGTCAGGACTTGAACGGTGCCCATATATTATGCCGGGACTGCAGGGCAGCTTTATCCTCTATGCTACAACACTGGACCCTAAGAGAGTTTTTGTATTAAAAGTGTATCTTAAAAGCTAGGACATTTTAGATATATTGTCCACTGCATTTTTTCTATATGATCAACTTTGAGATTGCTCAAATAGACTCAGCATAACTAAACACCTATCTGTTTGTGGACAAGTACATGACATTATATCACATTAGAATTATGGTCAGAATCGAAAATGAATCTTGATGTGAATGGAAGGGGAGAGGGAGTGGGAAAGGGGAGGGTTGCAGGTGGGAGGGACGTTATGGGGGGGAAGCCATTGTAATCCATAAGCTGTACTTTGGAAATTTAGATTCATTAAATAAAAGTTAAAAAAAAAAAAAAAGAATTATGGTCACATACTGTCTAGCTGCCTCCAATTAAATACTGAAAGTATATCAACATTTCCCATAGTTCCTTACTGTTGTAGATCCTAAAATCACAACTGTGAACACATATACTTGGGCAAGTTTTAAAATTCATATCTCCTCAGCATGTATCTGAGGATGGTGTTGTGGCATAGCAGGTAAAGCTATAGCCTGTGACACCAGCACCGGATATGGGTGATGGCTCAAGTCTTAGCTGTTCCACTTCTGATCCAGCTCCTGCTAATGGTCTGGGAAAAGCAACAGAAGATGGACCAAGTATTTGGGCCATGGCCACCCATATGAGAGACTCAGATAAAGGTCTGGCTCCTGGCTTTTGTCTGGCCCAGCCCAGGCATTTGCAACCATATGGGGGGAGTAAACAAATAGGTCTCTGCTCTTCACCTCTCTCTCTAACTTTTTTGAATAAATGAGTAAATCTTAAGGAAACAAGAGCATATGCCTGGCTTCTAAATGTATTGGTACATCACCATATGTACATATAAACCAGTTTTGTCCTTCTGGTACTAACCACAGAATACAGTATTCTTTGTATTTAGCAAATCAGAAAATATTGAATTATGACCCTAAGACACTTTTTTTTCTTGGATCTTTGTCAATTCTGTTTAAGTAGTCCTAATAAAAGGAAGGGGATTGGATAAACAGAAAACATAAGACCAATACCAAAACCACTTGAAATTTGAATTTCAATTTGCATAAGTTTTTGCAACAATATGCTTTATTTTATAATCTCTAATCTTTTTAACCTTCAACTGAGTGGTTTAAGAAAAGCACCTCTAGCGTCTTTTCCAAAAATCTAAGATTCTGTGCTCCTAAAAGCCAAAATCAGTCACAAAACATCATCATACTGCTGTAGTGTTGAGAATATCTGAGACATATGAATGTCAAAAAAACTTTTTTTTACTAGCAATATACACACCGAGTTCTGAAGAATGGGATCACTTATTTAATTAATATTGAGAGTAAGAATTATGTTAAAGTTGAGTCAGAAAATTGATACAAGATAAACCCAAAGTGAAAGGGAAAGAGAATGTAGAATATTATAGTAGTTCAAATAGTAAAATATTCTCCAATCATTAATAATTCAAAAAGCACAATTAACAACCATTCTAAAGTAATTTCATTGATAATCTATTCTGTATATATAAAGTTGAATGACACAATGTATTTCTAGAAGATTTATTTATTTTTTACTAAAGTCAGAGTTACAGAGAAGGAGAGACAGAGAGAGAGACAGAGAGATCTTCTGTCTGCTGATTCACTGCCCAGTTGGCTACATCAGGCAGCCCTGGGTCAGGCCAAAGCATGGAGATTCATCCGGGTCTCCGATGTGGGTGGCAGGGGCCAAACACCTGGGCCACTGTTATTCTCAAGCCATTAACAGGGAGCTGGATCAGAAGTGAAGCAGCAAAGACATGAACGAGCACCCCATGAGGGATGTCCACATCACAGGAGGCAGCTTTACCCACTACACCACAACACTGGCCCCTGAATGTATTTTTTAAAATCGAAATTTAGGGGCCAGCACTGTGACAAAGAAGGTTAAGCCTCTGCCTTCAGCACCAGTATCCCATATGGGTACTGGTTGGAGTTCCAATCCAGCTTCCTGCTAATGTGCCTTTGAAAGCAGTAGAGTATGGCCCAAGTGCTTGGGCCCCTGCAACCATGTCTGTCTCTCCCTCTGTGCCTCTGCCTCTCAAATAAATAAATCTTTAAAAAATTGAAATTTAGAGGATTCACTGATATCTTTAATGAAACTCCACTCATAATCAATTTACATACTCATTGAAAGTCTATATCTATACAAAAGTATTTGGTATAATTATTTGGATAATTATAATAATTTTATGCAGAAATAGTAATATGTAATTTTTAAAAATTCTTTCTTATAGACTTGCCAAATTACGGATCTTGGAGTTAAGAGAAAATCACTTGAAAACTCTGCCAAAGTAAGTGACTGTGTGTTTTATAAATTTTGAATTACGATTTATCACTAATGGGAAAAATGACTACTTATTTCATTTTTAGCTGAGTTTTACCCTTTTGATAGACTTAATTGTTCTATAAATTTTTCCTGAAGGCTGGGAAGTGCAGTATAATGCCTGAGATTCATATTAAATGAGAAGGTATCCTGTCTTTTTAAGCTGCATAATTACAAGTAAAGGTGAGAAGAGTCTGTTTAAGGTTCTTTTCCTGGTTAAGATGCAAATTGTGAAAACAACAATTTCCTAAACTAAAATTATTCTTAATTCTTCGAGTTAACTTATAGATAGTGATATTTTTCAGGTTTTCAATCAGGAATGTGCCAGAAACACTCAGAAAAGATTTAAAACTTTCCAGAAATCAAAGTGGTTTATCAAAAATTATATTTATAAAATTGCAAACTTTTATTTTTTAATAGTCTAAAATTTGATTTGTTTTAAATATAAGGCATTTTAAAGTAAAAACTAATCCTCACAATTTTATTCAGTGTTAAAAAAATGCTTTGTATCATCCTGCTTTTCCTTTTTCATGTTAAAAGAAATTCTTACTTTTGAAAACCAAAAATAATTTTTTAAAAACAGTTTTTCACGCACATAAATAAACTGACCTATATATTTTATGATTAAGATATTGATGCTGCTATTTTTCTTTTTCTACAGTATTACAGAAAATATTGAGTATAGAAATTAATTTTTCAAGTGTTTTAATTCTTTTACTGAACTAAAACTTAATCTTATTTTTTACTTTTAAATCCTTCCCCTAAGCAAACGAAACTGTTTCATCATTTGTTCAGTTAATATATCAGTAAGATTTCTCCAAGTGAATTTTATTTGATATTATATATGAAAAATTTGGCAGCTCATTATATAATGACATAGTTATAATAGTTTTCAATAATGATTCCATTTAAAATTATATGTAGAGCAGATACTCCTATTCATTCTTCCATTATTGGAGGATAAGAGAGTCTGGTAAGTAGGAAAAGTATTCATACCTGCACTTTTCAAATAATATCTTTCTCTAATAAAGTATTATGCATGGGCCTAACACAACTCCTTTCTCAGGTTGGGGACTTAAACAAAGGAAATAAGGTTGAGAGTGTTACTTGTTCAAGGATCAACTTCCTGCAAAGGCAGCTGGTTTCCATCAATAATGCCTTTTGTGTGTGTGTGCTACATTTCAAGTAGAATGGAAATATGGCTAAGTGAAGATAAACCCAAAATAAAAGCAAGATTGTGTGTATATGTATGTTTGAATCACGGAGAAAATACTGTGAGTGAAGGAATCCTTTCCTCTCTGCTCTCAAATAATGGCTTTCATTTGAAATATAAAAGAAACCTGACATAGGTTGTAGGGTTTTAAAATACATTTTTTTTAAATATAAACTTTAAGTAAGTTAAAACCTGAGTAGATTGTTAATGTGAGCTTTGGATGAAATTACTGTGTAGATCATTCTGGGTAATGAGTAGAAATACTGACAATTGGTGCATTGGGATTCTGTAGGCTTAAGACAGTGGACCAGTATTAAATAGAATTAAAATAAGTAGAGTAATATACTTAAAATATTGTTGGCATAGAAAAATTTTATAAAGAAATGTTAGAAATGACAGTGGTGGTTCTTTTCCTTTCTTAGCAGACTGCTATGCTAATGTAGTGTAACTGCTGCAGATTTTACATAGTAAGAAACATTTTCGAATTCATTTGTGATCTAGTGTGTTCATTTTATAACTTACAGAGAAAAACATCTTAAAACAAATGCAGATATGAACTATGGAGAACTTTATTTTAGTTTTGGTGTTTGTGGAATAAGAATTGCAGAAAGAAAAAAAATAAAAATAAGCTTTTCTCCATATATTGTAGCTTTTGATCACCAATCAAGTGTTGTAATTTAGAGCTATGGGAGAACTACCTACTATTCTTTATTTTGCATTTCCAATTCAAATAAAGGTAAAAATGTGGTTTTAAGAAAAACAATTTTAGTTTTATGACTACTCAATAAGAGATAACTTGTAGTTTCCTCAGGAACACAAACAGAATACAACACAATACAAATAGGGTCTTTAGTGGGTCCTCAGTAATTTTTCACTTATTTGCATTGTTTAAAGTTGATATGCCTGGAAATCTGTGCAAACAGTAGAAGTATGTAAGAATTATGATATAATATCATTAAAATGTGTATCTCGTAAGCAAACTAATATGGACATTTTGATATGTGTGGATTCTGAAACCAATTTTTCACAATGAAAATAGAAGTTATTATTTTAAATTTTTCTCACAATATTCCTTTATGATAATTTCCCCAGATATTGCAAAAAGTGATAAATTTCTCTGATAGGTATTTACTTAAAAGTCATTGAATTAGTCAGGTCCTGATTATGCTTAGTAATTGAGGATATTAAATATCTGGGGGAAAAAAACCCTAGATAATCCAGCAGCATTCCTTTAGCTTTCCTAATACAACTTTTCCTCGTAGCAGAGTGTTCTGTTATTTGCGGGGTGTTCAGGAAATTATGAGGTTGGTAGATTTAAAATGAATATTACATGTCAAGTGAAAACCCAGCCTTTGCCTATTTCTTTCATTACTTTGTTTATTTCTTATTTCATTTGTCTGTTTGTGTAAAAATGTCTATGGGTCAGGAAACTAGGAGAGGCTGCTTTGTAGGTGATGCTATGTCAGGATTTCTCACAAGGCTGTAGTCAAGCTAGAACTGAGCACCAGTCATTGAAGGCTTGAGTGGGCTCAGGAGTATGCATCTAATCTGACTCAGGTGATGGGTAGCAGGTGAATTTCAGATTTCATGTCTTTGCCACATGGGCTTCTTTGTAGCGTTGCTCTAAGTTTGGCAGCTTGCTTTCCTTCAGAGGAAATAAGGTGAGAGAGGGAGAAGAAAAGGGAGGGAAGGAAGGAGAGGGAACGGGAAGAGAGAGATCCAAACAAAAGCCTTGATCCTTTGATAATCTCAGAAGTGACATTTTCTCCCTTGTGCCATTGCTTTTGGTCAGAGAAATCAAATTCTTTCAAGAGTGAAGGAGATTTGCATAAGAGTTAACTATTAAGCAGGGGTTGTTGAATGATGCATTAGAAATTCCTTCCACACCAGATCTGGTATTCAGCATCGCTCATCTGGAAGCTCAATCTTTAAAGTTCAAGTATACACAATGCATCAGATGCAGGAGGCTGACAAGCACAGCACTACTTAGTTTCCAGAAATCCTCACCTTCTGCAAAGGTGAACAGAGTAAAACCCAATAAACATATCCACAATGAGAAAAAGTGGATGGCTTTTGTGGATGAGGAACTTTGAGAGTTGTTGTAAGAAGGGTTCCAAAGTCTGCAGTAGTGACAACATATTTTTGGTCATGGACTCTTCTGAGAATCTGAGAGAAGCTATGGAATCCAGAAAAATGTGAATTCTAAAATTCTTATTATATCCATTTTGAATATTTTTAGCTAGAAATAGGTTATTTTCTTTTACATAAAGTAAGTCACACCAAAATATCTACTATACTATAAAACAGTACCAAAAATAAGGCCCTCCCAATATTAGAGGATCAAATTTGTCAAAAGGATAATTATATAACTATTTCTAGTATATTCATATAAGAAAAGAAATTATTATTGCACACTTTTGGGGAGGGTTCTTAATAAGATTATATTTTATTATCATCTATAAAGTTTTGAACTTGCCTTGGTAAAAATTACTAAGGAATAATTTAAAGGAAAATTTTCCAGATAAGCATGAATGAGAACCTGAAACTTCTACATTATCTATGCTGCAAATCTAGAAAGTGGTATGTTCATCATTTATATTACTCCCTTCCATAGACAGCATTGCTTTTATTCATTGATTTTCCCACAAAAAAAAAAAAAAAAAAAAAGATTCAGAAACTCTACAATTTTCTCTCTGTGAATTCATAAGGACTTCAACGCAACACATACTCACAGTAAGCACCAATACATTGTAACTTAACTGGACAAACTCTAAGAAAAAAGATTTACTTCCAGTTATAGGTATAAATTAAAACCAGAGTGACTTGAAGTACTATTAATAAAATACATTAGATCATGAACATCAAGAAAAGACTGAGGGATTAGTCCAGATTTGAGAAGACAAAAGGAACATTATAACTATTTTTTCAAAAAGATAATTCTAAACTGGTTCTTTTATTTTAAATGAATCTTTTATTTTAAACGCTGTTATTAGGACAACTGGCAACAGTTTAGCAAGAGTCTGAGGACTATATGGTAACAATTTATTACTGTTAATTTCCTAATTTGGATAGCTGCTTTCTGAATGTGTAGGAAAATGTCTTTGTGTGAATATACCATATAATATTTAGAAATGATCGTGCATTTTGGCAAAAATTTGGCAATTTACTGTACTATAGCTTTATTAAAAACATAATTTTAACAATGTTTTCAAATTTCTGTAATTTTATGATTGTTTCATCATAAAATTCACTTTCATCATTGTTCTTTTATGTGTTATTTTTTACTGTGATAAGAATAGTTGACTTGAGATTTGCCCTGTGAAATTCTTAATGATAGCACAAGTTGCATAGGAGATTTCTAAAGCATATTCAGCTTCATAACTGAAACTTAGTACCTGTTGTACAACAATTCTCCCTTATCTCCTGTCTATCTAGTCCCTGACAGGCATTCTATTCTAATTCTATGAATCTGACCATTTTAGATGCCTCATAAGAGTCAGATTGTGCCTTATTTGGCCATCTGTGACTGGCTTACATCACTTGGCAGGCTTATCCAGGCTGTCGTAAAAGGCAAGATTTCCTTCCTTTTCAAGGCTGAACAGTATTCTATTTTGTGCATATACCACGTTTCTTTTTATTCATTCATCTATCTTTAGACATTTAGTTTGCTTCCTATATCCTGACTATTGTGAATAATGATGCAGCGAATGTGGGAGTACAGATATCCTTTGAGATCATGATTTCAATTATTTTGG